GTCGGCTCACGAAAGCACCCTTAACGACGCATTCATCTTAGACCTATCTGCTACACAGAAGTCAGAGGGTAGGTGAAATACAGAAGAAAATTTGCTGATCCTTGGTGTCTTTTCACGCCAGAAATGGTTTTTATCCGGAGCATGAATATTTGTTCCGCCATAGAGGGTAATATTTCATTTCCGGCCGGGACAGGATGAATTTTAATAAGGAAAAGGTAATGTAATGGCTAAGGGGAGGCTCATAGGGTAGACATAGTGTAATAGAAAGTGGCACCGCTCACCGTGCGCACGGTTCGGGGATTAAATCTGGATTGGATATCGCCCTGGTCCAACCAAATTTTCCGTCCTCCCAGGATCGGTGGGTAGCTGCTGTGTGGGAGTATGAGGCACAAACTTTCATATCTGACCCACATAAGTCTGTGGCCATTTTTCTGCCCATGGAATTTAAATGCTACTAAGATCATGAATGGAAGTCAAATGCGTGACGATTTTGGAAAGGGGTTTATTGATATCAATTGCATAATCTGGAGAAGTGGCAAGAAAGCTTTCTTGTGGCAAAAATTTAGCGCTTCTTCTCTTTCAACGTAGTCTTTCTAGAACTTTTTTCCAACGGTTTTTTGTAGCCACAAATATTCAAATAATGTGATCCAGATTTTTTTATTAGCCCACTTCGTTCATAATTGAGCACCTTCGCTTCATTTTCGTTTTCTTTACTATATAGTTATTGTTGTTTAGGAACCGTGAACGATTTGGATGAAGTCGAAGAAAAGAATGAGTGGTTAACGGACGATGAACAGCCACCGATGATCGCGGATGTTGCCGAGAAATATTCATCGGTCGAGGATGACAAATGCTATGGCGGAGAAAAGGAAAATATAACTCCAACAAGAAGCCCTGCTTCTTCGCTCAGTGTTTCGAAGGAAGAGAAAGCAGAGAGCAATGAAAACGATAGATCCGATGTCTAGTCTCTGAAGAATGCAAAGACGACAAGGAAAAGGAACGCGTGACGGCAATTGAAAAGCTCGACCTCTCAATTGTTGGGAATGACGATGTAGACAATGAAGAAGTAGAGAGCAGAAAATCAACTGAAAGGCTTGTTCTTCCAACAGTTGAGAAGGATAGTCCGGTGAATCTAGAGATGGATCGTGTAGAGATATCTGAAAGCGTCCATGTAACTGATGAAAAGCGAGTTTCGCCGGAATCTGTCAGTATGGTTGAAGAAGAAAGCTCTAAGGGGATGCAAGAATTCAGAGCACTTCAAGCGAAATTACTCCGCAAGTCATCAAACACTTTGAAGGTATAAGGTTGGACATTTTTCTTCATATCATTTTTAATCTAATATTTTATTTTTTGTCTAATATTTGGGATCCTTAAAGTAGAATAATTTTACTTCTGTAGCGTCTTGATCTTTGAAATCACTAGTAGGGTTTTTCATCGAGTCTTCATTTCGGTGTGAAACAATATCTTTTATCAAACGTGATTCAGTATCAGAGATCACGCCCCTACCTCCGTCCACTCAAAATTTGACTTCGTTTGCATTTAGTGAAATTTGGCCTGAGAGTCTGAAAAGCGGTTCTGAAAAAGAAGGGTATGGCAAGGACGTGAATGAGGTTTCTTCGCTGGAGCGCACCAATGATGGTCGACCGAGCATGGTGGGTGGTCAAGATCTTGTTAGGAGTTTCTAACTCTTCTAACCTTCGTATTTCAGGGTTTGAATCGTAGTGAGCTATGCGACAGTTTGTCAACGTCCATAATACAACTGATGACGGACTCAGCATCACCACGACGTCGTTCATTATCGCAGATAGCGCGCCGCTATGAGTTAAGCGAATCCCTGTTAGAGGATTCTATCAGTTCCTCGTCGAAGTCGCCACGTGCTCCCAAAGAGTAAGTAGATTCGTAGTTCCAGTTTTAGTTACTAGCAGTGATTTGTTTAGACGATTTACAACTAAAATGCCTGCTTCAATTTCACCTCGAGCGAAAGCACTACTGGAGGAAGGTCTAGACTATTCATTGGTGAGTGTTATAAGTTGATCCTATTCACCCTCAGGTGATGGCAGAGCAATAACACGAGGGATCGCGGAACCGTCCACTACGTAGCCACCTATTGTTGCATCCTTCTTTGCTGTGCTTTGAGTCTAACAACCTTTCCCTTGGTAGGAGGCGCCGCCGCCGGTAGAAGCCGATCCTCATACTCTACGCGCTGTCTGACAGGACAGCTTCACTAGCATAGCCGCTGCTGGATTGAGGAAAAGCCAGGGATGTGGTTTGAATTCCTCACTACTTGCAACACGCCTCAGCCGCGACCAGGGTCAGCTGTCAGTTGTGTCGATTTCGAAAACCCTAACACCACCTTTTGAAGGAACCTCGATCCGACTTCCCTCATCATTTCTGGGAGGGCTTCTGCTATACAGCCTTCTCTCCATTCATCAACCCATCATTATTACCACAACGGCTGTCTCTTTGGTATTTGGTTTTGAGACCAGTCGAAACACCCCAACCCTCCCACCTGAGGAGGTGGGGGAGGGGGAGGAGAGAGAGGAAGATAAGCATGTCCAAAGAAACGGTAATATTGAAATGGCAAATGCTCTAATTCTTCCTATTTCATACTCTTCTTCTTTCTTGAAGTTTTCGTCGGAATCGGTCTGTCCTTACATTCTGCGCTGGACTGTTGATTACTTGTCTCATACTAATAATCTGTCTTTTGGCAAAAGCAAAGGACAGTGTACGACGACGAAACGACCTGGTTTCAGCCTAATTACAGGACGATGGGGGGGGGGGTTACAAGAAGGAACCACTTCGCTCTTGGCAGGCATCACCGAACTTTTGTCGCGCACCGTGCTGCTGTTGATGGTTCCGGCAAATATCTTTCATATGTCCTCTCTCCACTTCAAAGCAGAAGGCAGGTCCTCCACTGCCCTCACCGTCTTCAGAATATGACGTCATCTGTCATCACCGTCGAGCTCAAGGAGGCTACCGTAATCGCTCCAGCCTGAAGCTGCTACATAATTTCTTCAATCGGTTAATTGATGGATAGCCCGTGTAGGAGGCTTGAAGCTTTTGATAGATTGGAATGCGCCCTTCAATATTCAACTGAGTGTGTTCGGTTTGAACTGATCGAATAATTAATTCCTTTTGAATATGGAGAACGATACATTTTTGCAGCCCCCCCCCCGTACACGTTGGGAAACCAGCTTCAAGGGTGCAGGGCTCAACACTATTTGATGTAATTACCCTTACTGTCGCTGTAACCTTTTTCTTTACGGACTCAACAAAAGCGGGTGCTGCAACATAAACGTTTTCCAAAGCTTTAAGATTTGATTATAGGCGGAAACGATCGTGAAATCTGAAGCGGCGAAAGCAATCACGGATGAGAAAATACGTGAAATTGATGAAATGATGGGTAAGCTGTAGTTCTGTTCACCTACTGTTTTCTTGCTTTCCTCTTTGAATCTTAGTTTTGTGTTCAAGTTCACAGATGGGCTATACGAAGTGTTTGTCAGGTATTTCTTTTGGCATCCATAGATACAGGGGGAGGGGCAAAAAGATTTGTCATTGGTGCGCATCAGCTCTGATGGAATTTCTACTGAGGCATTCCTTATACGATCCTCTATAACCAGAAACAAGACTTTGCTTACTGCCTTCATCGTCTTCAGAATATGAAGTCATCCATCATCGT